TTTAGGTTACCTTCAATAATTGTCAGATCGGTGCGTTCCTGGTAGGTTATTCCGTCCCATACCACAACTCCGTCACCCTCAAACCGATCCGTTTCCTGTACGCACGCATCAGAAAATCATGCATTGCACCTCCGGTAGACACTGGCTTTCCCGTCGCTAAATGTCAAGTTGAATTTCTATTCATCGGTAAAAAGGACTTGTCTCCATGTTAGCCTATTCCATCGAATCCGTATCCATTCAAGTCGCGACATCCTGTGACCCTGCGTAAGGATAGGTCCCTTCAACGGACGATGAGCTCTTAGGCAAACTTGATGCAGTCGGTAACACACTGTTTGGGAATAAAGCCTGTTGTTGTTTCTTCCATGAGTTTGTCGTGCTGTTTGTGACAAGTTTACAAATTGATTCCGGATTCCTGTCTTGACGTAACTTCGTTTCACGTTGCCTGCAACCTCGGGGACGATTATTTGTCGTGTCAGTATCTCTAAGACGAGTCTTAAGCCTTTCAATATTCATTCTAGAGACATTGGGATGATTTGCAACCTGTATTAGAGTCATTTTTGCTGCCAACAACACAATAGCTCGTTCTCTCTCATTATGACGTAGATGTGGCATTGACTTACGTGTAACTTTTTCAATTTTTTAATGCGACCTTTTGTTAACAATAGTGCTCGACACATTTAATGAACAAAAGGACAACTCAATTCCATCTCTATACAGGTAAATGTTTGAAAAAATGATTATTTGTTTAAAATCAGATAATGACGTAACGTCGTCTTCGAATTTTTAACAAATTAATAAATGATAGATAAATCATTCAGGTCACTAGTTTTAATCTTGAAAATATTATAAATTAATATATGTAATTTCTTTTAATTAAAAACCAGGGTAACGTTTCTTGTTTTGCCTATATAGCTAGTAAACATTTATTTATATCAGACAATGCACGCACGTGGACGAGGGTACTTATACCGTCTTTAAGAATGTGGCGCCTTGATTGTCAATGATAAAGTTAACTGGTTTGTATGTAGTTTTACTATCATATCTTTTTAACAACTCAGTACTGTTTGCCGATTTTGTTTTATTCTGGTACAAAACCTCTGATATAAATAGACTTTTGAAAATAATACAAAGTAGACTGTCTATTAATTCTGTCATAGTATATAGAACTTTAGGTTGTATACCAGCTGGCCTTCGCACTAAAGTTCTTTCATCTTCATCGTTTTCTTTTTCGAAATTCCCTTGAAAAAAATTCAGCCAGTGTTCAGCCTTCTCTTTATCAGTACTTACACAACACATTTTACAATCTCTTTCATCATGTAATTCGGATGGGGGGATTTGGATTTTCATTTCGACTTCATATGACAAGAAATTCTTCTTTGCTGACTCTGATATGTCTTTTTCTCGGTTTTCACGTTCTTGTCTGACATTTGAGTTGGCTTTGTTCCTCACTAAATTTTAGTTCCTTTCGACATAGCCCCTCTTGAAGCTTTGCGCAAACTATGCGCCTGTGTTCCCTCTACAAGATCTTTATAGTCTTACCCCGCGACATCCCTCATTATTTTTTCCAGAGGCTATGGAATAGGCAAATTCCTGTTGTTTTTCCCAAATTTTTTTGAAATTCCGAGCCCTAGTTTCAGTTTTTGGACAAAGCGCAACTCGAAACCTTGCGCAAACCATGCGCCTGTTTCTCCTCTACAAGACCTATATAGCTATACCCCGTGAAACTCCACATTATTTTTTTCTCTAGAAGCCATTGAATAGGTGTAATACCACCAATGCATGGTACGTCACATCCGGTTGCATACGAAAATAGGTCGAAAAAAATATTCCCTTGAATTTGACATTTATAGGTAATTAATTCATCATTTTATTGCAGTAAAACATTTCTGGGTCATAAACATATACATGTATCTTGGGTATTTCAAAGCATCATTTTTTTTTAATTTTGGGTTTCTATAGAATATTTTGGAAACTTGAGGTTGCATGGTAACTAAAGCTTGTATACAGGTTATATAAGGGGGGAAATTTGATTGGTTAACTGACAGTTATGGTTATTTTCTTATATGCAATGAAATTTTATGTGAATTCTTTTCTATAGTACTGGACAAGATAAAACTTTACTCATGCCAAGTATTTTTTTAATTTGAAACAAAGATAAATTCTGCACAATTTTTTGAAAAGTGCAAATTCTAAAAAGACTAATAGGGGAAAATCAATGGTGGTATTACACCTAATATGGGGTGCTGTACATGCACCTTTGACCTTGTGAGTACTCTCGTGTGTTAAAACTTCTTGCTATTCAAGTGAAATATTACAAACAATGAATATTCTGAGTGGATTGAGTCTCCAAAACATATTTTATTAGAACATTTCCTTGAAATTGGACTCTACCATGAATATTAGTTAACTGAACAAGCCATACTTCACGGTGTTTTGGGGAGCTTTTTATCCTTTTTTCTTATATTCTGCTATAATAGAAAGTTTTCTCTCAGAAATATTTTACTAAATATATAGTTATAAGTAAATGTGATTATTTTTTAAAGCAGTACCAACAAATTATTCACTAATAGAGAAGCTTGTTATGTCCCTCTCTGGAACGCAGCGTAAATTTACGTTTTACGTAAGGACTTATTAAAACCTCCAGTAAACTTTTATATGGATTGTTCATTCTGCTTGAATACTTCAATTACTCAATGTAATTTATTATAACATTTCTATCATAAATGAGTGAAAGTTACTTCATTATTTTTATTTATTGGCCTGAAAAATTGAAATTTTGAGGAAATGACATGTATAAATGGACCAAAAGAGACCTTATAAAGAAGACAAAGGGGTCCAGTAGTGGTATTTATCATCCTAAAGTCATCTTTATATCATATTCAACTGTTTGTAGGCAGATGAGATAAATATTTAATCATTATTGGTCCACACTATATTCTATCATGATGCGGCTTGGTTTGGATTTTTCGAAAAAATTCTGCACGAATCGCTGAAGATGTCGTCGTACATTATACTAGATTTTTCTCAAACTATTGAACTGATTATGACAAAACATGACAGGAATGCTTGAAAAAAACAGTATTACAAAGGAAAAAATCCCTTTCAGTTTATTAAATAAAAATGTCTTCTTCAGGTGTAATACCACCAAATCATGGCATGTCACATCCAGTTGCGTACAAAAATAGGTCGAAAAAAATATTCCCTTGAATTTGACAGTTGTAGGTAATTAATCCATTATTTTATTGCAGTCAAACATTTCTGGGTCATAAACATATACATGTATCTTGGGTATTTCAAAGAATCATTGTTGTTTTATTTGGGGTTTCTACAGAATATTTTGGAAACTTGAGGTTGCATGGTTACTAAAGCTTGTACACAGGTTATATAAGGGGCAAATTTGATTGGTTAACTGATAGTGATAGTTATTTTCTTATATGCACTGAAATGTTATGTTAATTTTTTAATTTGAAACAAAGATAAATTCTCCACAATTTTTTGGAAAATTGCAAATTCAAAAAAAAAAAATAAATGAAAATCAATGGAGGTATTACACCAATAGGCCAACCCCCTCTGTTTTTTTCCATTTTTTTTTCAAATTTGGGGCTCTAGTTTCAGATTTTTTAACATAGCGCCCTTCGATACCTTGCGCAAAAGATGCGCCTGTTTCTCCTCTACAAGACCTATATAGTCATATCCCGTGACACCCCTCATTATTTTCCTCTAGAAGCCATGGAATAGGCCAACCCCCTTGTTTTTAACATTTTTTTTTTTAATTTTGAGCTCTAGTTTCAGATTTTTGAACAAAGCGCCCTTCGATACCTTGCGCAAAAGATGCGCCTGTTTCTCCTTGACAAGACCTATATAGTCATACCCCGTGACACCCCTCATTATTTTTCTCTAGAAGCCATGGAATAGGCCAATCCCCCTGTTTTTAACATATTTTTTTAAACTTTCAGCTCTAGTTTCAGATTTCTGAACATAGCGCCCTTCGATACCTTGCGCAAAAGATGCGCCTGTTTCTCCTCTACAAGACCTATATAGTCATACCCCGTGACACTCCTCATTATTTTTCTCTAGAAGCCATGGAATAGGCCAACCCCCCTGTTTTTAACTTTTTTTTTTTTTAATTTTGAGCTCTAGTTTCAGATTTTTGAACATAGCGCCCTTCGATACCTTGCGCAAAAGATGCGCCTGTTTCTCCTCTACAAGACCTATATAGTCATATCCCGTGACACCCCTCATTATTTTCCTCTAGAAGCCATGGAATAGGCCAACCCCCTTGTTTTTAACATTTTTTTTTTTAATTTTGAGCTCTAGTTTCAGATTTTTGAACAAAGCACCCTTCGATACCTTGCGCAAAAGATGCGCCTGTTTCTCCTCTACAAGACCTATATAGTCATACCCGGTGACACCCCTCATTATTTTTCTCTAGAAGCCATGGAATAGGCCAATCCCCCTGTTTTTAACATATTTTTTTTAAACTTTCAGCTCTAGTTTCAGATTTCTGAACATAGCGCCCTTCGATACCTTGCGCAAAAGATGCGCCTGTTTCTCCTCTACAAGACCTATATAGTCATACCCCGTGACACTCCTCATTATTTTTCTCTAGAAGCCATGGAATAGGCCACCCCCCTGTTTTTAACATTTTTTTTTTAATTTTGAGCTCTAGTTTCAGATTTTTGAACATAGCGCCCTTCGATACCTTGCGCAAAAGATGCGCCTGTTTCTCCTCTACAAGACCTATATAGTCATACCCCGTGACACTCCTCATTGTTTTTTCTCTAGAAGCCATGGAATAGGCCAACCCCCTTGTTTTTAACATTTTTTTTTTTAATTTTTAGCTCTAGTTTCAGATTTTTGAAAAAGCACCCTTCGATACCTTGCGCAAAAGATGCGCCTGTTTCTCCTCTACAAGACCTATATAGTCATACCCGGTGACACCCCTCATTATTTTTCTCTAGAAGCCATGGAATAGGCCAATCCCCCTGTTTTTAACATATTTTTTTTAAACTTTCAGCTCTAGTTTCAGATTTCTGAACATAGCGCCCTTCGATACCTTGCGCAAAAGATGCGCCTGTTTCTCCTCTACAAGACCTATATAGTCATACCCCGTGACACTCCTCATTATTTTTCTCTAGAAGCCATGGAATAGGCCACCCCCCTGTTTTTAACCTTTTTTTTTTAATTTTCAGCTCTAGTTTCAGATTTTTGAACATAGCGCCCTTCGATACCTTGCGCAAAAGATGCGCCTGTTTCTCCTCTACAAGACCTATATAGTCATACCCCGTGACACTCCTCATTGTTTTTTCTCTAGAAGCCATGGAATAGGCCAACCCCCCTGTTTTTAACATTTTTTTTTTTAATTTTGAGCTCTAGTTTCAAATTTTTGAACATAGCGCCCTTCGATACCTCGCGCAAAAGATGCGCCTGTTTCTTCTCTACAAGACCTATATAGTCATACCCCGTGACACCCCTCATTATTTTTCTCTAGAAGCCATGGAATAGGCCAACCCCCCTGTTTTTAACATTTTTTTTTTAATTTTGAGCTCTAGTTTCAGATTTTTGAACATAGCGACCTTCGATACCTTGCGCAAAAGATGCGCCTGTTTCTCCTCTACAAGACCTATATAGTCATATCCCGTGACACCCCTCATTATTTTTCTCTAGAAGCCATGGAATAGGCCAACCCCCCTGTTTTTAACATTTTTTTTTTAATTTTGAGCTCTAGTTTCAGATTTTTGAACATAGCGCCCTTCGATACCTTGCGCAACAGATGTGCCTGTTTCTCTTCTACAAGCTTATATAGTCATACCCCGTGACACTCCTCATTATTTTTTTCTAGAAGCCATGGAATATGCCAACCCCCTTGTTTTTAACATTTTTTTTTTTTAATTTTGAGCTCTAGTTTCAGATTTTTGAACATAGCTCCCTTCGATACCTTGCGCAAAACATGCGCCTGTTTCTCCTTGACAAGACCTATATAGTCATACCACGTGACACCCCTCATTATTTTTCTCTAGAAGCCATGGAATAGGCCAACCCCCCTGTTTTTAACATTTTTTTTTTTAATTTTGAGCTCCAGTTTCAGATTTTTGAACATAGCGCCCTTCGATACCTTGCGCAAAAGATGCGCCTGTTTCTCCTCTACAAGACCTATATAGTCACACCCCGTGACACCCATCATTATTTTTCTCTAAAAGCCATGGAATAGGCCAACCCCCTGTTTTTAACATTTTTTTTTTTAATTTTGAGTTCCAGTTTCAGATTTTTGAACATAGCGCCCTTCGATACCTTACGCAAAAGATGCGCCTGTTTCTCCTCTACAAGACCTACATAGTCATATCCCGTGACACCCCTCATTATTTTCAACTAGAAGCCATGGAATAGGCCAACCTCTCTGTTTTTAAGATTTTTTTTTTTTAATTTTGAGCTCTAGTTTCAAATTTTTGAACATAGCGCCCTTCAATACCTTGCGCAAAAAATGCGCCTGTTTCTCCTCTACAAGACCTATATAGTCATACCACGTGACACCCCTCATTATTTTTCTCTAGAAGCCATGGAATAGGCCAATCCCCCTGTTTTTAACATATTTTTTTTAAACTTTGAGCTCTAGTTTCAGATTTCTGAACATAGCGCCCTTCGATACCTTGCCCAAAAGATGCGCCTGTTTCTCCTCTACAAGACCTATATAGCCATACCCCGTGACATTCCTCATTGTTTTTTCTCTAGAAGCCATGGAAAAGGCCAATCCCCCTGTTTTTAACATTTTTTTTTTTAATTTTGAACTCTAGTTTCAGATTTTTAAACATAGCGCCCTTTGATACCTTGCGCAAAAGAAGCGCCTGTTTCTCCTCTACAAGACCTATATAGTCATACCCCGTGACACCCCTCATTATTTTTCTCTAGAAGCCATGGAATAGGCCAATCCCCCTGTTTTTAACATTTTTTTTTAAATTTTGAGCTCTAGTTTCAGATTTTTGAACATAGCGACCTTCTATACCTTGCGCAAAAGATGCGCCTGTTTCTTCTCTACAAGACCTATATAGTCATACCCCGTGACACCCCTCATTATTTTTCTCTAGAAGCCATGGAATAGGCCAAACCCCCTGTTTTTAACATTTTTTTTTTTTAATTTTGAGCTCTAGTTTCAGATTTTTGAACATAGCGCCCTTCAATACCTTGCGCAAAAGATGCGCCTGTTTCTCCTCTACAAGACCTATATAGTCATATTCCGTGACACCCCTCATTATTTTCCTCTAGAAGCCATGGAATAGGCCAACCCCCTATTTTTAACAATTTTTTTTTTTAATTTTGAGCTCTAGTTTCAAATTTTTGAACATAGCGCCCTTCGATACCTTGCGCAAAAGATGCGCCTGTTTCTTCTCTACAAGACCTATATAGTCATACCCCGTGACACCCCTCATTATTTTTCTCTAGAAGCCATGGAATAGGCCAACCCCCCTGTTTATAACATTTTTTTTTTAATTTTGAGCTCTAGTTTCAGATTTTTGAACAAAGCGACCTTCTATACCTTGCGCAAAAGATGCACCTGTTTCTCCTCTACAAGACCTATATAGTCATACCCCGTGACACCCCTCATTATTTTTCTCTAGAAGCCATGGAATAGGCCAACACCCCTGTTTTTAACATTTTTTTTTTTAATTTTGAGCTCTAGTTTCAGATTTTTGAACATAGCGCCCTTCGATACCTTGCGCAAAAGATGCGCCTGTTTCTCCTCTACAAGACCTATATAGTCATACCCCGTGACACCCCTCATTATTTTTCTCTAGAAGCCATGGAATAGGCCAACCCCCCTGTTTTTAACATTTTTTTTTTTTAGATTTTGAGCTCTAGTTTCAGATTTTTGAACATAGCGCCCTTCGATACCTTGCGCAAAAGATGCGCCTGTTTCTCCTCTACAAGACCTATATAGTCATATCCCGTGACACCCCTCATTATTTTCCTCTAGAAGCCATGGAATAGGCCAACACCCCTGTTTTTAACATTTTTTTTTTTAATTTTGAGCTCTAGTTTCAGATTTTTGAACATAGCGCCCTTCGATACCTTGCGCAAAAGATGCGCCTGTTTCTCCTCTACAAGACCTATATAGTCATACTCCGTGACACCCCTCATTATTTTCCTCTAGAAGCCATGGAATAGGCCAACCCCCTATTTTTAACAATTTTTTTTTTTAATTTTGAGCTCTAGTTTCAAATTTTTGAACATAGCGCCCTTCGATACCTTGCGCAAAAGATGCGCCTGTTTCTTCTCTACAAGACCTATATAGTCATACCCCGTGACACCCCTCATTATTTTTCTCTAGAAGCCATGGAATAGGCCAACCCCCCTGTTTATAACATTTTTTTTTTAATTTTGAGCTCTAGTTTCAGATTTTTGAACAAAGCGACCTTCTATACCTTGCGCAAAAGATGCACCTGTTTCTCCTCTACAAGACCTATATAGTCATACCCCGTGACACCCCTCATTATTTTTCTCTAGAAGCCATGGAATAGGCCAACACCCCTGTTTTTAACATTTTTTTTTTTAATTTTGAGCTCTAGTTTCAGATTTTTGAACATAGCGCCCTTCGATACCTTGCGCAAAAGATGCGCCTGTTTCTCCTCTACAAGACCTATATAGTCATACCCCGTGACACCCCTCATTATTTTTCTCTAGAAGCCATGGAATAGGCCAACCCCCCTGTTTTTAACATTTTTTTTTTTAGATTTTGAGCTCTAGTTTCAGATTTTTGAACATAGCGCCCTTCGATACCTTGCGCAAAAGATGCGCCTGTTTCTCCTCTACAAGACCTATATAGTCATATCCCGTGACACCCCTCATTATTTTCCTCTAGAAGCCATGGAATAGGCCAACCCCCTATTTTTAACAATTTTTTTTTTTTAATTTTGAGCTCTAGTTTCAAACTTTTGAACATAGCGCCCTTCGATACCTTGCGCAAAAGATGCGCCTGTTTCTTCTCTACAAGACCTATATAGTCATACCCCGTGACACCCCTCATTATTTTTCTCTAGAAGCCATGGAATAGGCCAACCCCCCTGTTTTTAACATTTTTTTTTTAATTTTGAGCTCTAGTTTCAGATTTTTGAACATAGCGACCTTTGATACCTTGCGCAAAAGATGCGCCTGTTTCTCCTCTACAAGACCTATATAGTCATATCCCGTGACACCCCTCATTATTTTTCTCTAGAAGCCATGGAATAGGCCAACCCCCCTGTTTTTAACATTTTTTTTTTTTTAATTTTGAGCTCTAGTTTCAGATTTTTGAACATAGCGCCCTTCGATACCTTGCGCAAAAGATGCGCCTGTTTCTCCTCTACAAGACCTATATAGTCATATCCCGTGACACCCCTCATTATTTTCCTCTAGAAGCCATGGAATAGGCCAACCCCCTTGTTTTTAACATTTTTTTTTTTTTAATTTTGAGCTCTAGTTTCAGATTTTTGAACAAAGCGCCCTTCGATACCTTGCGCAAAAGATGCGCCTGTTTCTCCTCTACAAGACCTATATAGTCATACCCCGTGACACCCCTCTTATTTTTCTCTAGAAGCCATGGAATAGGCCAATCCCCCTGTTTTTAACATATTTTTTTTAAACTTTCAGCTCTAGTTTCAGAGTTTTGAACATAGCGGCCTTCGATACCTTGCGCAAAAGATGCGCCTGTTTCTCCTTTACAAGACCTATATAGTCATATCCCGTGACACCCCTCATTATTTTCCTCTAGAAGCCATGGAATAGGCCAACCCCCTTGTTTTTAACATTTTTTTTTTTTTAATTTTGAGCTCTAGTTTCAGATTTTTGAACATAGCGCCCTTCGATACCTTGCGCAAAAGATGCGCCTGTTTCTTCTCTACAAGACCTATATAGTCATACCCCGTGACACCCCTCATTATTTTTCTTTAGAAGCCATGGAATAGGCCAACCCCCCTGTTTTTAACATTTTTTTCTTAATTTTGAGCTCTAGTTTCAGATTTTTGAACATAGCGACCTTCGATTCCTTGCGCTAAAGATGCGCCTGTTTCTCCTCTACAAGACCTATATAGTCATATCCCGTGACACCCCTCATTATTTTTCTCTAGAAGCCATGGAATAGGCCAACCCCCCTGTTTTTAACATTTTTTTTTTAATTTTGAGCTCTAGTTTCAGATTTTTGAACATAGCTCCCTTCGATACCTTGCGCAAAAGATGCGCCTGTTTCTCCTCTACAAGACCTATATAGTCATACCCCGTGACACTCCTCATTATTTTTCTCTAGAAGCCATGGAATTGGCCAACCCCCCTATTTTTAACATTTTTTTTTTAATTTTGAGCTCTAGTTTCAGATTTTTGAACATAGCGCCCTTCGATACCTTGCGAAAAAGATGCGCCTGTTTCTCCTCTACAAGACCTATATAGTCATACCCCGTGACACTCCTCATTGTTTTTTCTCTAGAAGCCATGGAATAGGCCAACCCCCCTGTTTTTAACATTTTTTTTTTTTTAATTTTGAGCTCTAGTTTCAGATTTTTGAACATAGCGCCCTTCGATACCTTGCGCAAAAGATGCGCCTGTTTCTCCTCTACAAGACCTATATAGTCATACCCCGTGACACCGCTCATTATTTTTCTCTAGAAGCCATGGAATAGGCCAACCCCCCTGTTTTTAACATATTTTTTTTTTAAATTTTATGCTCTAGTTTCAGATTTTTGAACATAGCGCCCTTCGATACCTTGCGCAAAAGATGCGCCTGTTTCTCCTCTACAAGACCTATATAGTCACAACCCGTGATACCCCTCATTATTTTCCTCTAGAAGCCATGGAATAGGCCAACCCCCCTTTTTTTATTTACATTTTTTTTTTAATTTTGAGCTCTAGTTTTAGATTTTTGAACATAGCGCCCTTCGATACCTTGCGCAAAAAATGCGCCTGTTTCTCCTCTACAAGACCTATATAGTCATACCCCGTGACACCCCTCGTTATTTTTCTCTAGAAGCCATGGAATAGGCCAACCCCCCTGTTTTTAACATTTTTTTTTTTTAATTTTGAGCTCTAGTTTCAGATTTTTGAACATAGCGCCCTTCGATACCTTGCGAAAAAGATGCGCCTGTTTCTCCTCTACAAGACCTATATAGTCATACCCCGTGACACTCCTCATTGTTTTTTCTCTAGAAGCCATGGAATAGGCCAACCCCCCTGTTTTTAACATTTTTTTTTTTAATTTTGAGCTCTAGTTTCAGATTTTTGAACATAGCGCCCTTCGATACCTTGCGCAAAAGATGCGCCTGTTTCTCTCCTACAAGACCTATATAGTCATACCCCGTGACACTGCTCATTATGTTTCTCTAGAAGCCATGGAATAGGCCAACCCCCCTGTTTTTAACATTTTTTTTTTTTAATTTTGAGCTCTAAGTTTCAGATTTTTTAACATAGCGCCCTTCGATACCTTGCGCAAAAGATGCGCCTGTTTCTCCTCTACAAGACCTATATAGTCATTCCCCGTGACACCCCTCATTATTTTTCTCTAGAAGCCATGGAATAGGCCAACCCCCCTGTTTTTAACATTTTTTTTTTAAATTTTGAGCTCTAGTTTCAGAGTTTTGAACATAGCAACCTTCGATACCTTGCGCAAAAGATGCGCCTGTTTCTCCTCTACAAGACCTATATAGTCATACCCCGTGACACCCCTCATTATTTTTCTCTAGAAGCCATGGAATAGGCCAACCCCCCTGTTTTTAACTTTTTTTTTTTTAATTTTGAGCTCTAGTTTCAGATTTTTGAACATAGCGCCCTTCGATACCTTGCGCAAAAGATGCGCCTGTTTCTCCTCTAAAAGACCTATATAGTCATACCCCGTGACACCCCTCATTATTTTTCTCTAGAAGCCATGGAATAGGCCAACCCCCATTTCTGCAAATGTGTATCTTAGTTCAATTAAACAATGACATCAAAGGTGCTGTATTTTACAGGAAAGACTACTTTTACATACGTTCTAAATTGAAGTGGGTGCATTAGTGGTCTTACAGCTACAAAGTATCCTTTGACAGATGCAGATTTACTGTGGTAATGAATATTAGCCTAAAAAGAGATGTGACTTGTTTTATCAATGGATGGGATAAATACCATTTCACGATAGAGTTGAAATTGAAATATTTGGACGGAATGTCTGCATTTTAAATATTTTTCATTTGACGGCCGTTGCTGTCTTATTCATTTTTTCGGTTTTTAGATATATCGCCTTATTGTTCGCTGGCTTATTGTTCGCTAGTTATTGTTCGCTAGCTTCAGCCTGGTTTTATAGTTTATCTATCTTTTTATCATATTTGTTGCGGGGAAAATATTTAGAAGGATATTTTTCTAACAATTTCAGAAATATCGAAACCAGAGTTTGTCAGAATCTGTCTCTTTATAAAAGTTGAAAATTGTGATAAAACTATCGTTTCCATTTAATTTAAAAACAAAAGTATTTTTCATTTATTATAAAATGTATTGATAAAAACATCCCTATGTATGATGTTTTTTAGAATTAAGGTGTGTTCGATTAGGGATTGTTCTGTATTTATTTGTTTAACAGGGAATGCTATCGGAGTCCAAATACAAAAGACATTTCCAGGCAATTTTTTTGATATCCCTTGAAGTAAATTAACTTATAGTAATTTATCCATTTTATTGATAAACAATTAAAAGGGGGTCACCGAATTCATTTTACTGAATACACCATTAACGGAAATGTGTAAGGTAAGTAACATAATATAATAAGATCCGTTGCCAGATGCGGATCCAGGATTTTGAAAGGGAGGGGGTATATGGAACGTTAGAATTGGAACAAAAAATAGAAGTATTAATAGAATGTAGGGGCATATATATAAGTGTTTGTTGCATATGTATTTTACTGCACATATAGGACGAGAAGATGAATATGAACCAGACTTTGTATTATACCGCAGGAAGACATGTCATCCTACCTGGACACATGATTTTGACCCCGGACCGACCAATCTTTGCTCTAACTCCTAAATAGTGCGTGCTTAGCAGAGAGGCAGCCAATTTTTGATTTTAAACGCGCGAGGATCGAGTCCAAAACTTCCCGCACTCGAACAGTGGTGTAGCTTTCATTGACACAATGCGGCAACCGCCTCACCAACTTTTTAACCATTAAAATAGAGAGATGAAGAGAATTATATACCATGTACGTCATAGTATAAAGTATACTGAGTGACGACGTTGACTACTTTACTCTTTACTCACTCATTCCTCATTATTAACGTCTTGAAAACTTTCTTTCATAAAATGAACAATTTAGATGCAAATATCATTTTTATGTAACAGACAAAGTATAATAATACCTCGCAAAAAACTGATTCAAACAAGAGGTCATAACTGTGAAACTGATATGATGCTTGATTTTTTTTTGACAACGAACTTGTTAATTTTGGTGGACAAAGTTTTCAACAGACACTTGGCATTCCTATATTTTATGTAGTACTATTCTACCTTGGTTAATATAAGCAAGACTTTATAGTTCACCCAGTTATTATCATCCACACATTTTGACAATATCTAAACGTATAAAGTTAAAAGACATAGTGCATGGATCTTAAACTTAATATCCCCAAATCTGTGCAAAAGCATTTTAGAGGAGGTCATACATATAATTCTGTCAATTATTTTTGTTTTGATCTGGACCTGTCTGTAACTGAATACTGAGAATTGAACCTTTAATCAGCAGTTTCTACAAATCTGGATTTTTCATAGACAGGATCTTTTTGTCAATGTGTGACCTATCAAGAGTATGATCACCTACACCTATTTTGCGATTCATATTTTCAATTAACCGTCCACTCCCTATTGGCATTGACGTCTTTTAACCAAGGTGAGGCTTTGACTGCCAAGATTCAAATCATTTGCCTCACCAGAAATAAAATTCAAGTTACGCTACTGTCGATTGAGTGATAGTTGGTTACTTAACATCCAGTAGCAAATATTTTATGCATTATTAACGTGTAGAGAGCGTGGCATTCTCTCTACAAGAGGCATCGGATTTAACGTCCCCACTCTGACCGGACGGGACTGCGTACTTGTACATCCCGCACAACCAAACAGACTCCCCCATTTGGCAATGGTTTAACTGCCGATCGGAACAAGACCAATAGTGACCATATTTCTATTCCACCGATCACCTTTGAGGGGTTACTGTTGAGGCGAGCACGCGACCAAAGAGATAGTTATGAATATGGAAGATACACATATATATATATACGTGTATTAATCAAAACATTTGCAACAATAATGTGTGGCCTTAAGACACCGTGCCCCTTCACATGATCATATTCCCATGTTCAGTGCACCACTTAATCTGGGTCAAACGTGGTATATAATTTTAAACGTTTTATATTTTGAACAGAACGGAAGAACGGACAGATGCACAGACCAGTAAATATATTATTCCCTTGCTATCACAAGTTGGTCATAAAACTAAAATGATCTTCCTATTTAACCAAACTTCAATCAAATATTCCGTGCATGTTCGTTTTTCAAACGTATTTGTATAAGTTAAACGCCAAACATTTTAGAAAAAAAAAAGAACTTAAGAGCAATGACGTTAGATTAAGCATACGTTTGTACGGGGTCTTCCTATAATCCATGCATCATTATAATTAAAGACAAGATATAAAAAAAAAACTGATTCAGTAAAGTGTAATCATAATTTTTTTTTTGAAGATGCGTCCTCATAAATTCCATTTGATAAAATTCTACGGAAAGGTGACAAAGTATTATCAGAAAGATGCATCATTGATCTGATTTTTTACCTTTGGCAAAAGTATCTTAAAATGAATTATAGAAGTATGGTAAAACAAAAAAAAGAAGAAGAAGCAAGTCGTGTACACCTTTTACATTCCGGCGTGTTTGAAAATCTTGTTTTAATCTTATAACGTATAAATAAAAAATGAGAATATGATCTCGCTTCAGATTCTATTATTTTTATTTTTTCAAACTTAATTTTGATTTAGTAGCTTTAAGAATTCATCGTTTGAGATAAATATATGGGTCAAGTGAAATGACGAAGTAATGATCGGTGCATTTGATTACCGGTAACGGACTTAACTATTCCCTTTAAAGGTTGTTGTCAATGAAATCATCCCGAATTTAATAACAAAGTATGTAAAGAATTAAAATGTAGTTTGTGCTAATTCTTAAATAGCATCTATTCCAACAAAGTATGTGTATTCAACGAGTCAAAAATCATGCAGTCTATGCTCCCGTCCGTCATCCTTCAATGCAATAGGCCGAGATACGGTCAGATTGGTTGGTTTTGTCGAGTAATGTCATTTTATTGGAAATCTCTACTAGGACATAATCACTACAACAGTCCAAAAGTCTGAAAAGGCCTAATTTTGTCTTAATTTGCATGAACAATTACTCGACATTCTCCGAAAGTATGACTTGTGTCTCAATTTTTCTTGACAAATTCTGATTTATATTAAATTTGTATTAAATTTACTCGACAAAGTCTCGACATTCTGAAAATGGTCTTAAAATTTCTTGACAAATTCTTGACATTTGAATACTGCCTTAAAATTTCTCGATAGGTTCTCGACATTCTTATTTTTTCTCAGTATGGCTTGACAAATTCTGAACATATTGTATTGTGTATTAAATTTACTTGACAATTCTGAG